TCTTGGGCTATGACTTGACGTCGGCATACTGTGAACAGTGGAGGTTATTTTCTGTTCTTTTATTCACTCTTTCCCTGTCTCATTTCCCCCTCAAAACACTCTCTACTGTTCTTTCAACCCATGAGGCAGCATGGTATAGCCGTGACAACCTGGGTTTAAATCCTGGGATTGCCCCGATGTGGACAGGGTTGAGAGTCTGGGCAAGTTACTTAAGCTCTTCAAGCCAGAGTCGTTTTCTGAGCTCTAAAATAATCACCTCCTCGTTTCTCATAGTTTAGTAAGAAAATGTGTGCAAAGCTCCTGGCTCAATCTGCGTTGAAGGTTCATGTACACTAGCTTCTGATTCCTTCTACCTCCCCCCAGCCCCCAGTATTCTTTCACATAATTTTTAAGATATTTAAAGGCAAAACACTGTGTCTTCCCTAGGGAAAAATGAGCTGAATGTGGTATAGTAGCCAAAGCCACTCCTGGGTGGATATTTGGGAACAAACTGCTGGTTTCCTGTGAACTCCTGGTGAGATCAAAGATGGTAAAAGGGAGTTCTCAAGTAGGAGAGGGTGAGAAGGTTGTAAATGGCAATGAGTGACCACTCTGGCTACTGTTCACTCGCCTCACACATGGGCTATTTAACATTGCTGCTGGCAGGGTAACAAAGCCTTGCCTTGAACACGGAAGCTTGCAGGCAGTGGCGCTTCCATGGAAATGCTTTTCTCACGGGCTCATCCTAATCCCTAAAACGTGGAGCTGTTTCTTCTTGGATGTGTTTCTGTGCAAACTCACCCCACCACCACCCCTGTTTACCTCCTTCCTCTGCTACACAGCCACACTCACCTTCTGAACAGAAAGTATTTTGGGTCTGGTAACTTTTACACACTCAGACCCTCCAGACCCTGTTCATCATCCTAGGAGGCTCCTGCACATTACCTCGAGTTGTGTACACGAGCTGCATTCTGTAGCAGTTGCTTGGAGTTAAAAGGCAGGAAAAAAATTTCTTAAGCCTGTAATCCCCCCGGTGAAAGGGAGAGGACAGAGCAGTTGCTGGGATGCAAGTTCTCCCTGTCTTTCAGCAGATAGTGCTTTCTGGGGCATCCTCTCCCTATCTTTCAGCAAATTATCTTATTGCTTTGTCTGTGGTGAGGTTGGGGATACCCCAATAGGATGCTTACAGACTGAGGGCCTAGAGGGGTACTGGTAAGTACAATACAAGCGGCAGCCCAGCCGGAGGAGAAAGGCATTGATTCTTCTTGGGGGCCCAAGGCGAGAGGGGCTCCACCAAGGAAGTGGCATTCCAGCTGGCTCAGGAAAGGCAGGCAGGTACAGGAATGATTATACGCTCGGTCAGGAAACCTGTGGGACAGGATCACAGTTTAACTACCCCAAGACAAAGTAACTTACAGTCCCAGTGGGATATTTCAAATTAGGTAATGGGCCATCACTGCCTTGGAACTGGACAGACTAAACACCCCCCCACCCCCACCCCGACCCCCCTCCAGAGAACAGTAGGTTTGCTCCACGAGTTCAGCTTCCTATTTGTGCCCAGTATTGGCAGGTCCTCCAAGCGCTCTTTGGTCACTGAGCTAGAGGCATTCCAGGCAAACCACTCACCACCAAGCAGATTTGTGAACTTTGTAAGTGGCATACACTTAGTGGATGCTGATAGAGTTTGGACAGAATTGGAGAAGACCACGGGGACCCAGCCAGCTCACCACTCCCGTGCCAGGGCACTTCTTTCCCTGCCCTGAGCTGAGCTCTTGTGCTGGGGTGGTGTTTTCACACACAATCACATGGTGACCACACCAGCGTGCTTGTTTTTATACTCCTTTCCTGCCGTGGAAAGCTTTGTCTGGAGATTGTGGGTTGTGAATTCTGTTCTCTCAACCCAGCTGAGTGTTAAATAGTTTCCGAGTGAGCAGAGGGCCTGGAAGTTACTGTAATTAGCAAAAATCTATGTTTCCATCTCTGAGTGACCTATCGAGAAAAACCCTCCTGTGAACAAAATCAGCCTTCAGATCTCTGACGAGAGGGTTGGGAATTGAGCTGCCACAGTAAACAGCTGACATAACAGAAGCAGCAATGATCCCCCATTAAATGTCTTTCAGCCGATGGGGCTCCCGGGATAATTGACTTTCCAGCAGGAATTACTGGCTCAAACGAAATCACTAGGCATTAGGGCAGCCTACTGCATCCTTTTGAAAGGGGAATGTAACTCTGCCTGGTTTTGCTGACCTGACAGACATCATTCATCCTGATTATTCATTGTGCTGGTTGCCACCAGATGATACCAGTGACTGTAATTACAATACGGGGTGAGGTTTTTATTTTGTTTTGTTTTTACAGAGTTCCACCTGCTTGATTACTGGCTTCCCTCAGCGGGAGGTGCTGTGGGGATGTTTATAGCACTGTCTGCCTCATCAGATCAAGAGTGCACAGTCAGATAGTATTTACAGACTACTTCCTTGCACACAGTTTACTAGATAAGCAGGGGAACAATTTGGTGCAGCCAGTTTCATTTCAACAAAGTGTCACTTCTCATACTCACCTCACTGTGCCAAATCACTGCTACCAAGAAAGTGGCTCTACGTTTCAGAAGCCCCAGAACTGAACAGGAGAGGCAAGGCACCAGCCCAGACTATAACTGAGTAGTACTCCTTGCTTTCAGACAAGCTTTATGAACTGAAGAGACAGTGGAATGATAACATTATTTTTAGAAAGAGAATGGAATTAGAATAGGGCTTTATTTTATTAGCCTGGTTTTAGAATGCAATCCCTGTGTGGTTCAAAGAATGTCCTCCCAGGTAACCTCTGTTCCCCATCCCCAGTGCCCCCTTGCCCACCCTTATCACTTGCACACCCAACCGGCTGGGTAGTATGGGACTTAGCGTGCCTGCACCCTACACCTCATACACACGTGCCTGTGGTCCTGGAAAGAAAAAAGAGGTTATAATAGTCTGTGTCCCTTCTCATCTGTGGAGTAATGCTTTTAACAGTGTTTCGAGTTCACCACACATTACTTGAGACCTGTTTTTCTTTTTCTTTTTTCTTTTTTTTTTTATTTGAGACCTATTTTGTGCCAAGTAATGTGGCGTCCACTTCCTAAACAACATGCCTCTGGAAACTCTATTAACTTTGATAAATGTCAGTTGTTGTAGAAAGGCTTCAGGCCTTTTGTTTATGGGGTTGCTGTGAGTCATGCTTGACTCGACGGCAATGAACAACAATGTCCTGTATGTACTGGAGGACTAAACAGGTGAATATGATCCTTGCTTTAAAGAGGCTTATAATATGATGGGACTGACGGGTAACTTCAAAGTAATCTTCTAAATTCTAGGATAGAAATGTACACACACATACAAATATACAGCATTTGTTTTTAGTGTATTCAGCCATAGAAGGGAAGGCTTCCTATAGATGCTGCCTGATTTGAATCCTAACTGATTTACTCACCTGAGGAAAGGTAGGAAGCGTATTTCAAGAGCACAAAGGCCTGTTTGCCATTTCCTTCTTTTGGGTAGTGTTACCTCAGCCTAATCAATTAGATTAATACTAGGTTTTCATTGTTTCACTTATGAAAATGAGTTCTCACCCTGGGGCTGGAGAGTTTCTGCAGGGGGGGAAAAAATCTCAGAACATGGGATCCTTATAATAGAGGCCTGACTGAGAGACCACAACTTCAGAATCTTTGACCTTTTAGCTCTCAGTTAAGCGTTTAAGTGTTGTATGGGGGACCAGGAGAGGTATTTCTCACAACCTGCTGAACAGTGATGCTGCAGATCAGCCAGTGATAATAGACAAACAAAACATCAACCAGAAACCACCCTTGCCATGAAGTTGGTTCTGACTCTGCGCCCTTCAGTCAAGGTTTTCAAGACTGTCAATCTTTGAGGCTGCCCATCTTTCTCCCGTGAACAGCTGGTCAATTCAAACTGCCAGCCTTTTAGTTAGCAAGCTGATAACATTACATACTCTACCCTCAGCGATTCAGGAATGAGCATATTCTCAGAAAGTTGGGCCTTCAGGCCCCCTTTTCAAGAATTAGGTGGTTGGAGCTGTGTAAACCACCTGTGTGGGTTTCACGACGACACACTCTGGGCTGTGTTTTTCTCACATGTGGTGGTAGGGATCAGACTCAAGTCTGAACCTCGGGTGCAGTCTTGGGCTTCCAGGCTCCCTTTCCAGTGCCCTCCACAGCTTGGGGCTTGGGGCACACCAGGGCCTTTAGAGCAGTTTTCCTACAGATGCTATTTTTTTAAAGTAAATATCCTTCTCTATTGTTTAAATGCATAGCTTTCCTATTTAATAAACTCAAGTTCACATAAAAAAAAATTAGGTGTTTGGGAAAGATCAGTGTGAAAAACAATGTATACGAACTTTTTTATTTTGTAAAAAAATAGTCATCTATGCAGCAATGAATGAATGGAAATCCAAATTCTCTGTAAATGTTCATTAAAATTATTTTTAAAAATTAAAAAATAAATTCATTTAAAAAAATTAAAATGAAAATGATTATACAAAGCATAATATGAATGGATAGTACAAACTTTGTAAGCAAACCAATTAAAAAAAATAGTCATCTAATGTGAAAAAAAATTAGATGGATTGACACAGTGACTGTGGCCATGGGGTCAGGTGTGTCAGACAGAGATGGGGAGATTGGCTCAGGATAGGGCAGGATTCAGAGCTGTTGTTTAGGGTCGCTATGAATCCTAGTTAACTTGATGGCGTATAACAACAAGAAGTAACACTCACTGAATCCTAACAAATGTAATTATTGAATTATTCTTTCACTCAGCTTCTTATGTTAGAACTAGAATTGAAAACAAGCCAACGTTCAAGTCCTGGCATGGTTAACAGCTTTGGTCTTCTTAATAGTCTTCCATGATGTGAGCCAGGTTTGTACAACAGCTACTAAGGTTCTTTATCTTCCCCATTAATGCTTGTGTTGCGTCTGTCACTGTTTCTCTTCTGTTCCGCTCTGAACTTTGTGTTCTGTTTCCTTTTAGAATGGTGCTTTGACCTGGAGTGATGATGCAGATGGAAGCCGAGGAAGAGAGATCTCCCGAGATTTTGCCAAGGTCTGTAATGTGTTCTTTGAGCCATTTTACAGAGGGTGGTTGCCCCTGATCCCCAAGGAATAAGGACAGGAGAGGTCTGTGAGTCACGTTCCCAGTCATGTGGATGATTGCAGTGTGGATGGTGTGAAACTTCCTGCAGCAAGATGGAATTGCTCACTGTGCTTTTCTCTTGGGGCATGGGGATCACAGCTGTATGAACTGGATGATGATCCTGAAAGGAAAGAGTTCCTCGATGATCTCTTCATCTTTATGCAGAAGAGGGGTGAGTAAAACAACGAATCTGTTCATTGTTCTGTCTGTTGTTGTTTTTGTTATGTACCTTTGAGTCAGAACCGACTCATAGCTGACCCTCCAGCAGGCTTTCAGAGGCAGTAAATCACACAAGAGGAGACTGCCCATCTTTCTTCCACAGAGCAGCTGATGGATTCGAACTGTATGCCTTCAAGTTGGCAGCTTGTCTCCTCAGTAAATATTTATTGAATGCCTACTGTGTTCCAGTCACTGTTAGCTGTCTTTCTCCAAGAGTGCAAGTATCTTACGCAGATGAGAGGCATTTACTGCTGCTTGGTCCTGGATTTCGCCAATAATTGACAAGAGTGAAAAGAAAGTCTTGGCAGAATAGAATGGACATTGAAATTTGGTCCTTCTTTGTTTTTTTGTCTCTCTTCTTCCAATTAACTGGTCTCTGGAGCCAGAGCATTAGAGCTGCCCTGGGCTTCACTTAACACTAGCTTGTGCATCCAGAACTGTGGAAACTGAACACAGTAAATGAGAGCATACAGATGGGTGGCATGACCACTTAAGCCCTTAATGACTAGCTAAAATGTTGGTAGCATCATGATAGATGGTGAAGAGATTGAGACTGTTAACAGCATTAGTTTGCTTGGCTTCACAATCAACACACTTGGCACCAGCAGCCAGGAGATCAAAAGACAAATTGCATTGGCAAAGTCTGCTGTCAGAGACCTCTCCAGAGTACTGAAGAACAACATTGTCAGTCTGGAGACTAAGGTGCACTTGATCCAGGCCATAGGTCTTTACAATTCCATGCTATGCATCAGAAAGCTGTACAGTGACTAGGGATGACAGAAGAAAATTGGATGTCTTTGAGCTTTGGTGCTGGAGAAGAGTACTGAGTATACCATGGACTGCTAGGAGAACAAACAGGTTCATCCTGGAGAGGGTGAAATTAGTCTGCCGTTGGAGGCAAGGATTCTGAGGCTCCACGTGACATACTTTGGCCATGTTGCAAGAAGGGACCAGTCCTTGGAGAAGGACATCTTACTTGGGAGGGTTGGGGGACAGTGCAAAAAAGAAGACCCTCTATGAGATGGATTAGTTCAGTGACTAGTGTGGTGGGGGTGAGTGTGTTGGCTCAGGATAGAGCAGGGTTCAGAGCTGTTGTACATGGGGTCTCTATGAATTGCAGGCGACTTGACGGCACATAATGACAAGTTGGCAGTTCATACCTACCCAGAGGCACTTTAGAAGATCTGGTGATCTGCTTCCAAAAGGTCCACAGCCCTGCAGACCCCATGGAACCCCTCTATTCTGCACACACTGGGTTGTTGGGAGTTAGAACCGATGCAGTGACAATACCAGTACAGGAGTTTGTTGGGAGAATTTGAAGTGATTCATGAAAGGGAAAAGCCAACTCTTTTTCCTTATCCTGTTGTTGTTGTTGATTGTCATCGAGTTGAGCACAACACACAGCGACCCTATGAATAAAAAACCTGAACCCTGTTCTATACCTATCATCATTTCTCTACATTCATAGAGTTTCCAGAGGCAGGTTGGTTAGGAAGTGCCCTGGCATAATCTATCTTGCCTGGGGCATTCCTGTAGCTTTATCTGTAGATACTTCTGTCCTGTAACCCACCCTCATCACTCTCTGTCCTTCTCTCAATCTCCTTCCCACCCCCCAGAGCCATCTGCACTCTGGACCATGGCATGACTGAGCCTTGAGCCCAGTGAATCTACTTCCTGCCTTTATATCCTGCCATAGAGATGGGTTTATCAGCTGGGTCAAGTCCTCAGGAAGCCTAGCCAGAACCCCAGCCTTTCTGGGAAAAGGTCTTTGGTAACCTGCACAACTCTGCCTTCATCACTCTCAGCGTACAGCTACCAAGGAGGGCTGCTCTCAACATGCTTTTACCCAGGCTCCTGTTTATATCCGATCCTATATCCTTTGGTTTCTCAATGCTTTATGGCAACATAGGAATAAAATATTTCTCTTTGACCCTAGGCAGTCGCCAGCAGCTAAATACCCTGAGTTAAGGCCTCTCTCTCTCTCCCCCACTTGCCTCCACCTTCCAAACTCTTACTGCCGTCTTAACAGCATGCCTGTAACTCCTGGTTACTTAAAAAGGCAATGGAAAGTTTTGCATCTCATTTCCCCCAGTCTCCAAGCCTATCAAAGCCATCTAAGCAGGCCCTAATTAGTTTACTCCTTCAACTGTTATCTGGAGCTGCATGTGTCAGTGAAAAAACAAGAATATAATCCCGAAAGATAATGTGACTGGCAGCAATGAAACTCCCTGGTTGCCCTGAGAGAGAGAAATCCACTTAATACTTTGGTCTCCCCTTCCAATTACCTTTTAATTATTTACAAGCTTCACAGGCCCAGCTGGTGCAAACCCAGGAGCTGATCCTGTCTCAAAGGGGCTGCCATAGCAATATAGATTTTAATCAGTAGTGTAGTTCTACTGCTTTATTTTCTACTTTATTGCTTTTCTCACTTCCCAGAAGGATTTTTAAAGGAAAGTGGAAGTTCTATCAGTCTAGCCAAGAGTGAAGGTGGATAATTGTTTGTTTACTACTATGTCCCCATTAGACTAGGAACTCCTTGAGGATAGCCACTTTGTCATTCCTGTGCGTCCCCATGCGGCTAGCATGGGACTGGATACGAGGCCACTCAGGATATACTCATGGTATAAGTAGTTCTATTGGTTTTCCTGATTCAGCATATGCCACATACAGGCATGTGGTACTTTGGATGCATTTACCTCCCTTTCAGCAGCTGTCTTGTAGCTGAAGGTCGGCAGCAGTAACAGTCTGCTGAATATCCTGCTATTCCAGAGCAGCTGCAGCTGCCAGATTGCCAGTGACTAGGTCTCTGAGTGATCCCACCTAAAGCAGAAGTAGGCGACACTTCTTTGCTAATTCCAGTTTATAGTGATACAGGGCCCAAGTAAATCTTTTCATGGTCTCCAGCACTTGCTTTTAGTGCTTCACATTTGCTTTCACTGTTGACATAACAAAACACACATTCCAGTAGAAGGGAAAGCCAGTTCAGGCTGCATGTTACTTACCCTAATACAAAATTTTTCTGCTTTGTTGCTCTTATTTGTTTTTATTTTTACTACATAATCCTTTGTTACGGGAAACTGTCCTGTGCTTTTTGGATATTTAACAGCATTCCTGGCTTCTACCTATTAGATGCCAGTGGCAACCCCCAATCATGACTGCTAGAATGTTTCTAAATTATAATAAATGTACATTGGGTCAAAATTGCCCTCCTTTTGAGAACAACTGTAATGGAAGGATAAAAAAAGTAGATTTAAATTTTCCTCTGCAAGGAAATAGTTTCTGGGAAGACCCTCACCTCCACTCAGGTACCTTCCAAGCAGGGTTATGTTAGGCGATATTGAGAGCTCTCCTCTGTGACTCAGTACCAAATGAGTGAGTGTAGGGACCTTGCCCTGGGCTGCTGGAGAACAGGGAAAACTCCTGAAAGCAGATGAGATTTCATCATTTCTGAGGCCTGGAAGTAGGGGAACCATGCAGGGGAGGCCAAAACGCCGTGACTGATGTGGCACGGACACAGTGGGCCCGAGTTCAAGGGCTATGTGTGGGTCAGCTGGCACCAGACTGTAAAGGACAGTGTATGAGCAGAAGTTAGCACTTCAGTCTGTAGACAAAGCTCATCGTTGAAGGCAGAGCCCAGAGCTGGGCTGTCAGATCACTTAGCTGTCAACAATGTGTAGTTGAAGAGGGGAGATTAAGGCAGGACAGCTGGAATGGAGGCCACTCCCTTTAAATACATGGTGATCTCTTTGCTGGGAAGCTCATTCTGAGGTTGGAGTGAGTAGTTCGGGAAGGCTTGGAGGGGAAGATTGTGGTTTTTAATCATGTGTGGTGTCTTTGCTCTTCACATAAGGGTGAGACTAAGGGCCTCTAGACATTTGCAGCTTATTTGTCACTCCCAAACATGAGTGTCTGGGCCACTCAGGAATCCGTTCTTATAAGCTGGGACCAACAGCAATGAATCGGCACCTCAGCCTCTAGAGCCGATGTGAAAGGTAAATGGTAAATTTCACAGGAGCTACTGAAAAAGACTTGAGTGTGAAGGGCTTAGTGACGCCCAGCGGGCTGCAAGGGGCTGGGCAGTTTTGACACAGCAGGCTGCCCCACAGAGGAAGTGCACCAGGCCCTGGGGGAGGCAGCACACAGCAGGCTGCCCCAAATGACTGCAGCTGCAGGTGATAAAACTGGCTGGTCAGTGGGAACAGGGGACAAAGCTGTAACTGCTGCTTTCTCTGCTTGTTAACATGTTTGAGTGAATTAACTGCAACAGATGGGCCTTTCAGCCCATGGCACCTTAGTTTCTAGGCTAGACAGGGGCTGCTTGTACCCTGGTGACCCCGTGCCCATGGCAGGGCAGCCTCCCAGAGGAAGAAGCCTGAGAAGAGTGGAGTCGCTGAGTTGGTGAGGGATCTCACAGTGCTACTGCAGGGAGCTGGGGGGTGAGCTCTGGATTGATAAGTGCAAAGTCAGGGCCAGCATTCCACCCTGCTCCATGATCTCAAGCAAATTCTTTCCCTATAGGGGCCACATTTCCTTATCTGTAAATATGAGAGGATTCCATGGAGTCCACTTGGACGCTCCCTCCAGGTTCTGTGTGTATTTTGTGCTGTGTCATTGCGTGTGTCTGCTGAGTTCTCAACAGACAGCTAAGCTCCCTGGTAACCAAAAAAAAATAGGAAGGGAGAGTGGCAACCCCTCGTTTGGTAGCAGTTTTCTATTAAAATAATTGCCTGTGTAACAAATATGCCAAGGATGCCCCAAGACCAAATGTTTCTCACACTCTTCTTCTGAATAAAGTATTTCTTTTTTCACTGACTGAAACCATGTTAAGCAAATTACTCTTGCTTCTGCCCTCCCTCAAACGTTTTCTAGGAAGAACTGATTTCTAGAAATCAAACCCTTTTTCCTATCTTTTGCAGTGTGTATGTTTACTTACACACACACATGCGCATGCAC